TTGCTCAAGTAATTTTCCAAATGTTGTGTTTGTCCAGCCCCTTTTTGAGAGTGGTCAGAGGAATCAAGTCACCCCTTAACTCCAACTCCCTCTATTGAGTAATACAGGTTGCAACAAAGTAGCTTTAAGCTGAAGAGTATATTCAAGCAAGACAATGCTTCTTCACATTTTATAAAGATGATTGCTGCTCACCTTGCCAAAAAAGGTTTCAAAGATAGCAAATTAATGGAATAACTTCAAGCCTTACTAGATATTAATCCAATAGAAAACCTGTACATTATTAAAAGAGATGTATATGGGATTGGAAAACATTCCAGCAAAGAAAATTTCTGTGAAGAAATAAAAACTGCTTCAAATAATGTTAAAGTCAAACTTTAGAAAACATTATCAAAATCAATGGCTGACAAAGGTTATAGAATATCAAGAAGTTATTATTAACATATAATTTATTCAAGTAGATGATATATGGTGTTAACCAATTTATGCAAAAAAAGTATATATAAGTAAGTGAATGCCTCTTAACAAAGCTATTTCCCACATTGTTTCAAGGACACCAAATGAATGCAATACTCCCCAGACTTTTCTGATATTAATCCAATAGAGAATTTGTACTCTATCATTAAAGGCAACTATAAATGAAATACTAAGAACAAAGGAAACTGAAAAGTCAAGTGGTTATTTCCAGGACAATTATATGACCTTTATATTATGTTATTTTATAAGCAACATAGGATTTTGACCAGTACTCTGCTTGCTTTACATTTTGCACAAGAATTAGAACTCAAGCTATTTAAATGGTTGCATAAATTTTTTATGCTCAAGAGGTGGCAGAGGGAGGGAGCTTGTTGAAAGCTGCAAGGGATAGAGGGAGGTGGAGAGCCATGATCGCCTATTTTCTGAAAGGACACAGCACATAGAAAGAAAAGATATTTAGTGTTAAACGTGCTCAATATCAGGGATAGATCCTTAGCATAAATATGCTATGTGCATTTCTTAAAGACCTGATATGCTAATACAACTCTGTAAGGATTTGGAATTATCATATTTGGTTTAGTTTAATACAGTCTCATCTGTGGAATGATCTAGAGCCATGAAATGTACATATTATTCTTCATCTTCATGCTTTTTGTTTGTTAACACACTTACCACAAAATTTGTCAAGTTTCTTTGACCTTTCCGATCAAATTCTAGTGTTTGTTCTGTGAAATATTGTTCTACTTGCTGCTACTACTCAAAGATTTCCTTCCTTTCCAAACTCGTTTTAAAACTTGGAAACAGGAAATAGTGAGTGCCAGATCCGGGGAGTAGGGTGGAGGATTTATGCACTCAAACTGCAAATTCTTCAAAATACTGTCTTGCCAGCCTAGTGAACAAATGCATTGATCTGCAATACGAAAACACCTGTCCATGGCTTCTCGTATTTTTTTTCTTTGCACACTTTCCCCACACTTTTTCTTTCTGAAACTCTTTTAATTAGGACAGTATGTTAGCCATATTTTACATTGATTGTTTGGCTCTTTTGAAGAGAGTCAGTCATCAAACTACTTATCCTAAAAAGCCTGATCAGCTCTCACCACATGTCTTGGTAGATATTCATTTATGCATATTGAGTCTCAGGCAAAGTTGACCTGGCAGAGCCTGGAGCCTGTCTCACTCCAGGTCAAAGCAGTTATCTTTTGCATAATGAAATGTTTTTTGTCTATATCTCTGATATGAAGTATTATGATTACTTACATTATTTACATTATTCAGACTGAATTACTGACATTATTCACAACATTTTGGCTGTTGTATGCTCCGGGTTTCTTCAGGTGATTGGAATTTCGATCCAAACCCTTTATTTCATCCACCGGGTGACTGATTGTGATTTGTTTTAGTGGCATGTGCCATGCCTCTTCCGGATGTCTCAGTTATTTCCCTTTAATTCAACTCTAATTTTTGGTTTACAACTGCTGTAGCCTGGTATTGAACTCACAACTCTTTGGGTCTAGTCACTGACTTTATCCACAGTGAATTATTGTGTGTGTGAGCAAGAGACCAACAAAACTCTGTGTAACACCAAAGATGAACTGAAGGCAAGGATCATGGCAGCATTCACCAACTTAAACAAGGAAACTGCCCAGAATAGTTGCAAGTCATCTGGAGGCTATGGTTGAAACCAATGGCAATTTTATTGAATAAATTTACTCTTTAGTATTTCAAGATATTTTTCTGTAATTTTGGTAAATATATCTGTTAAAATGAGATGTGAGTATTATTTCCAATTTTTGTGTAATTTAGACGACAATTTATCCATCGCACCCTCTCTCTCTCTCATTATATATATATATATATATATATATACACATACTAGCAGTAGAGCCCAGCGTTGCCCGCGGATGTAACAGTAAGAGATAGATCAAGTATCAACCATAATAAAGACTGAAAAATAAAATTGACAAAGATTATTCTTTAAGGTTGACAGACACGCATGTCTTAATTAGTTTGTTTTTTTGTTTTTTTTTTACAAATTGGTCAAACCCAAACTCAAACAAAAACATTGTCTATCGATTGAATAGAATTTTATTATAAACAATTGTCTTGTAAATGGAATTTTTAAAGCATTCTGAATGTAAAAATAAAGAAAAAAGTGTGCAAGACAATAAGAAACACTACCTGCCAAAAAAATAAAATGAGTGAAGTTTTGTTGAAATCGGTTGAAAAATGTAGGAAATCTGATCCCATATATAAATGAACACACACAAACAACCTGGGTTTTATAACAAGTATAACTCGATATGAGTTGTCCCCCTTTCATTCTGGCGACAGAATCGTGTTTTCAAATTGATTTTGTGCAAAAACAATTGTGTTTTTCCAATTTTTGGCACTGTCAGAACCACCACAAGGTAATTTTACACAGTCCTGTGAAGTTTTGTTGAAATTGGTTGAAAAATGTAGGAAATCCGATCCAATATATAAATGTACAGACACACTCACACACACAATCTGCGTTTTAAAATAAGTAAGATATATATATTTGCACTGTAACAGTGAAAATCACTTTTATTTCCCAAGTACTTTCCATCTCTTTCTGAGATCATCATCATCAGGGGTACTAGTAAGGCAGAGATGGAAAGTACTTGGGAAATAAAAGTGATTTTCACTGTTACAATGCATTTCTTGCCTCATTTGATTGTAATACATGGAAAAATATTCGTGAATATGAAAGGATTATGCTAAAAATAAGCAAACATAATGTTTGTAATTGATTTAATCAGACATGCCTGAAAGAGAATTTGTTGCCTAAATATACACACACATATATATATATATAAAAAGAAAGAACAGTAAGATATATAATCCAGTGTTCTTATAGATATTTTTATTTTTACAAAATAGTGCTTGATGTAAATTTACAGAGCATTAATATTATAAATTAATTGATTTAAAATATGTTTTTTTCCGCTACACAGTTCTAACCATGTTTCAAAAATGGAAGCTAAAAGCCCCGAATTTAATTTTGTAATTAAATTAAAGATTTAATAAAAAGTGAACTTCCTAGATATAACATTGGATCTAAATAAAAATACATACACACCTTATAAAAAACCCAACACCAATCCTTTATATATACACCCTAAATTAAATCACCCCCCAACTATAATTAAACATACTGTTATCTATCAGTAAACGAATAAGTACTAATTCAGCAAGGAAAAAAAATTTTACTTAAAAAATAAAAAATATTTAAATATAAAATTTATTAAAAATCGTAATATAAATATACTTGATATAGAATAATAATTTTATTAACTGTAGGTAACTCTAATACATTTATAGCCTATAAAAACTAATAATGAAAATATTTTAAAGTTGTAATTAAAATTGTAGTTAATTAAAATGAGTTCTAACCTAAACTTCTTTTAAAATTGGAATTAAATAAATAAATAAAGTTTACTAAATCAGAGAAATGAATTAGCTATTTTTGCTGTAAGAAAAAATTTTATTTAAAAATATTTAAATATAAAATTTTTAAAAAATGGTAATATAAATATACTTGATATAGAAAATTAATTTAACTGACTGTAAGTAACTCTATTTACTTCTATTAAATGAAATATAGTCTATAAAAAGTACTAATGAAAATATTTTAAAGTTGTAATTAAAATTGTAGTACATTAAAATGAATTCTAACCTAAACTTCTTTTAAACTGTAATTAAATAAATAAATAAATAAAGTTTACTAAATCAGGGAAATGAAAATTTTACTTTAGTAATATTTAAATATAAAATTTTAAAAATCGTAATATACTTGATGTGACAATAATTCTACAAACTGTAAAGGCTTCTAACTAGATTTAAATTGTTCTTGAAAGAATTATAGTATAATAAAATTAAAAGTAAAAATATTTCAAATCATAGTTAAATAAAAAGTATTTTTACCTAAATACCCCCCAAAAGAAATCTTTAAATATACGTAGAAAAAAATGCCGTTAACAATATAAATTTTTAAAAAATCAAAAAAAAAAAAAAAATCCAGACGACACGCTTTTAACGGATGTTAGATTTCATTGAAAAATATACATCCCTACCCACTACCAAATGTAGCAATAACTGATACATTAAAATATAGACATATTGAACACCTAGACACCCCTGTCTAGAAAAATAGATTCACCTGTAACCTTGGAGACATGAATTTTGTTTTAGCTGTGTATTTAAAACCCAGTAATTTTAAAAGTTACTCCAAAATTCGCTTGAGGATGAAATGGAACTAATGTCTTTAATTTAATTACAAAATTAAATTCGGGGCTTTTAGCTTTCATTTTTGAAACATGGTTAGAACTGTGTAGCGGAAAAAAAAACATATTTTAAATCAATTAATTTATAATATATATATATATGGACAGTTAGAAATAATTTCTTTTATGGTGGGGTTTGCAACTGAAGAGGAAAAATTAATCTCATGGAAAAAATACTTAATCAAATCGTGTATTGAAAGATGAATTAAAATGACTCACGTTTACATCTACTGGTTCCTCAATTACGACAGGAGGAAGTGGAACTCCAGTTGGGTCGATACGTTGAATACGAGCACTTCTTCGAGTTGGTTGAAAAACTCTAGAAAAAGAAAAAATTCTCTAAATTAGATTTTTAGTTAATGAAACTCTGAAGGTTAAAACATTCTATCATCTTCATCTGAAACAATCATGATTCACTAAGGCAAAATTTTATATTTTTAACAGCAATAAACACACACACACACACACACAAATCTGTGCAATTTTATAGCAGTCTTATTTTTCTTTGTTTAACCTTTTTAGTGACAGAACCTGTTGCAAAATGTCAGAAATGCAGTGAGAGCAGCATTCTGCCAATGAGATATACAGGAGTAAGAAATCTGATGAGATGTACCTTCTACAACATCCAGACTCTCCTGTGTGGAGGTTATAAAATACAGATTTGCGGAATCAATTAGGAGAAAAAAACCAAAAAAAAACCCAAACGAACAAAAATCAAAGCAGTCACTTTCACGCAAAACCAAATGCAAAATTGTTGAAAGAGTGTTTCCATTGAACAAGAATTGACATGAAGTGGAAAGATTATGCTGAATGAATTGCTAGGTCTGCTGCTAGGAAAATTGGTTCACTGTGTCATGCCAGACAATTTTTCTCACAAGAATCTATCTTACATCTATCTATGGACCAGATGTGATAGCAATATTCAGTGCCTGGTACATTTAGAGATTCTTGATAAAATCCAAAGAAGAAACTACAATATTATTGGTTTGAACTGGCATCTCGGCACAAATCTCTTTCCTATCACTGTAACATAGCTTCTGTGACATTTCAACAAATATTTACATGGTAATTGTTCTGATGAGCTTTCCTTTTTCATACCTAGATTTTATGAATTTAAGCATAATTCTAAATTGTCAGCAAGGTCACATCATTTTACAATTTAAATTATGAGTCTTTCAATATCATAGCATCTCATCCAACTGCCCCCACCATTGTTGATCACATGACAGTGCACATTCCAGCAGCAAACTACATTCAACCTTGCATTAATCTTGTATTGCAACTAAGAGTAACTGTAAACAATAATGTTGCCAATTTTAATATTTTAGTGAAAATGGAGAAAGAAAAAAATATACAAACTTCTTTAATTTGGGAGATGCATTCAGCTGAGATTTGACTGAAATTTTTTGCCTTGTTTTCTTAGAATCTATGGAAAGGTCAAGTTCATATTTGGCCTAAAAATAAAAAATATAAAAATAAATTAATAATTTTCACACATTTCTTTATGACTTGTATTCATGAAAAGATTTGATAATAATAATAATAATAATAATAATAATAATAATAATAATAATCCACACTTTGCACCAAGTTTACATTTATCAGGTTAGGATCCATATTCAACTAATTTTATACAACTGATATTAAGAAAATTTCAGCAATGTTTAACTATCATGTTCACAAAAAAAATTATGTGTCAAAAGGGCAGTTATTCCCTTGACACCCTCAGCAATGTTTATCGTTTTAAAAATAATGAAAACCCAAACATATCAAAGTGGATTTATACATTTTCATTATTTCTGAGAATTGACAAAAAAGATATTAAACACTATTAGATTGCTTATTTACAAAAAGCATTTTATATTTACATGATTAGAAAAATATGCAAATCAATTATAAGGAAATATTTATTATTTATCATTTTATGAAGAAATAAATATGAAAATATTTTTTTTTATTCAGAAATTTTGAAAAATGTTTGAACAAGAAAATTTAAATACATGACAAATAACTGCAATTATAAATTTTGAAAAAAAATGCATTTTCCAAAAATTTGCTCTCACCACATTAATTCACTAAAATAGGCTCAGAGCATCTCTTCCTTTGAACCAAACTTTCTTTCAATTTTAGATTTTAAGAAAAGCCACAAATACTCAATATTTTAAGTGTGTATCTCGCTATTCATTCGGTGGACAATGTATTCCTTGTCTATACTTACAGAAGGTCTGTAATTTTTACTGGGATTTACCTTAAAGAAACTTGTTTTCATAGTTATTTGTAAAATGACAATAAATATTGAATTGCAGCTGGTTTACATATTTTGATAATTTTGTAATATTTTATAAATTTTTGAATGAAAATATTTCTTTTCAAATTTATCTCTTTATAAAATAGTAAATAATAAATTTTTATGAAAGGTAAATAATAAATATCTCATTGTACTTGGTTGACATATATTTCTAATCTTGTAAATAAACATGGTTGAAGGAGTCAAAAGTGTATACAGTAATATCAGTGTTAAGGAAATAACCATCTTTTTGATACATTGGTGGTGGGGCATGAATGCCAAACATTGCCGAAATCTCTTAGTGGCCAGGTGGGATACATATATGCTTATAGATATATAAAAATAAATCCACACTGGAGACGATGACATAACTAGCCTTTTAAAATTAATAAAGTCACTTGGTTGGATCAATTAAACTTAGCATTTTTATCACTCAACAATGTTTTCAAAAGTGACTCCAATCGAACCAAAAAATCCTTGTACATCAAAAGGTTGTTTTAATATATGAGAAAAACTGTTTTTTTTTTTTTATTTCAAACATATTGAATAAGTGGGCATTTCCTAAAATTGCCAATAAAAAGAATAGAGTAATACAAGAAAGGAACAATGTCATACAAGGAAAGGCAACACTAATACAATAGCAACACAAGTGGGTTTATCAATGATCTATGTCAGTTCATAGGTAATGTAGAAATCTTGGTAGTATTTACCTTCTTCATTAGTTTTCTTTGAGTGGACTAACCACTCTTTGTGGTGAACATTGAAGTTGCCACAAATGAAAGCTCAGAGAGGATATTATCAATCTTCTCAGCTACTTTGCTGATCATTACAATTCCGTCATCCAGGGGACGATAGACAGAGAAGATGAAAGACGTACTATGGATAAGGACCACACAAAAGCATGTGAATGGGAAAATCAGTGTCCTCATTTTTGTGGTTTCAACTGCACAGGAGTTCATGGCCATGATTTTGAGAGTTATGTATCACTATTAGGAGTGAGTAGCCAGAGATTGTGAGTTTGTACATTGAGATAGATAGGTAGATAGATAGATATGTGTTTTAGACAGGAACAAGGCCAAGTTTGACCTCATGAATACAAGTTCAGCTTCTAGATAGTTGGAACGTAAATCACTCACATTAGTATAGGAGATGGTGAACCTGGGGTTTACTTGTTTTTGTGGGGTTGGGTTTGATTAATTTTGCTGTTGTCATGTTTAGAAATCAGATATTGGTACTGGTGAAGACATGGTAATAAAACATACAGGTAGTGAGTGTATCAATAACATGGATGAATTGACTGTAAGTAAAGCCATAACTCTACACTTCATGGCATCAAGAGACCCCACTGAAGACTACAGCACAGTCCAGATACCATTCAGAAAATGGTAGTACAATAGTCCTGATATATACCTGATAGAGTATAGCCTGGGGAGGCTATCCTAAGGTTCGAATCCCTGACTATCAGGTGGATAATGCCAACCCAGAAAATGCTTACATCCAGCACAAGAGACAAATAATTCAGGTAAGAAGATAAAATCATGATACCCCAATTGCACATGTGTCATCTACCCAGAAATCAGGTCAACAGAACTTCTCAAGTCAGAAATATTGTGAGTAGGCAGGGCGCTCAAGCACCGAGATAAATTTGCTCACATATGAGGACTGAAAGATCCACTGAGAGTAGTGGAGATTACATAGGTTGCTCAGAATGGCTGGTGATTTAGATTTTAATATTTTACCATAAGTCAAACAGAAAAAAAAAAAGTTGATTTCTAGTAATTCATTGCAAATAGTGAAGAACAATTCCCTGCTGGACACTTTACATTGTAATAATTTTTTTTTCTAAATGGAGTCATCTTTAAGAGTGTCATATAGAATTACTGTCTATAAATTATATATTAAATAAGAAGCAAAAATCCAACTCAATTTGAAATATAGAAAAAACAAAAACAAAGTATCATGAGGCTACTGTAACAGAGGTATCTCCTATAGCACCATGAGCAAATTTACCTTACGAACCCATTCATTTGTGTAGGGAGTTTGATCCTCACAGTTGCAGATTGATTAAGTTAAGCTTTGTAAATAATCACTTACAAGTATAACTGTTTATTGTCATACAAAAAAATCTTTTATTTTCATTAAGAATTGTAACACAAATGATTATTATTTATTTGTTAATAAGTAACAAAATTATTTGTGGATTTGATTAAAACAAGGGAGAAAACTCCGAGCAACAAAACAACTACACTGGGAAAAAAAAAAAAAAAAAAAAAAAAAAAAAAAAAAACTCCTCTTTCCAATGTCACTACTGATGATAGCAACAATACTAAAGTTGTCTTATCAACCATTATTAATGTAATAATGATGTAGTCTTATCAACCATTATTAATTTTGACTAGTATTTCCAAATCGTACTATTTGCTCCCTGTTGTTGAATGACAGCACAAAAATTTGGGATAAAAAGCAACTAAAACTTAAAATACAAGTCAAAATTAAGAATAATGGTTCATTTAAAAATAAATATAAAAGATAATATTGTTGCTATTAATACTGTTAGTGTAAAAACAATAACAAATATGGTGAGAGAGATCAGGTGAAGGATAGATTTACAAGGTCAAATTTGATCTTCTGCTAGTTGTAGAGTTTCTTATAACCCAAACAATAGGAGCTGTTGATATGGTTAAACCAGGCTTTTCCAAGGCAAAGGGAACATGAGTTCATGACTCATTGGGAATTTATTCTCATTTTTGACCTTCACTCATTACTACAAATATTTTGACAAAGCAAAAGTAATAAATTAACAATTCAAGGTGAAACCTTGTTTTTTTCCCCTTCTTTTAAGCTTGTTAAGATGCAGTACAAAATAGTAATTTTTTTTTTTTAATCAAAACAATAGCTTGAATTAAATTTCAAATCAGATTTCTAGATTTCACTGAAAGTGTTTAATTATGATTTGGGGATGTTTCTTTCACAAGATGCATCTCCTCCCTCTAGCTATGGGTTAAATAGTAGGACTTGTATTTGAAAAAAAAAAAAATCATTATTATTATTCACAAAAAATTGTTAATGCAACATTCACTTGCAAAAAATAAAATAAAAATAAATAAAAAAAATAAAATAAAAAATAAATAAAAATGTTTTGGCATTAAACAACCCACAACAATACCTTTGGGAAAGGTATAAATCCATCTCTACCACCTATGGGATAAATAGTAAGGCAAACAGGACAATTCATCCTTAGTTGACAATCAGTCTAGAAGGACAATTCTGAATTCAAAACTATAAGTAGTCCTCGCAGGTTACATACTACACAACTGAAGAAAGGTTTGTGGTGTTTACAATGACTCCAAGACCCCAACTGCAGTCATTCAATGAATCGACGATCTATTTAGACACATACCCTCATAATGCTTGTTATAGTCACAACATTTTTGGTCCAATTGTCAGGCATTTGTTGTTGCATTAGGCAATCTCCTGAGAAGAACTGAACCTTTTAACTAATCTAAACAGTAGATTCTAATGTCCAGCTAATTTATAATGTTAATTCTTCTTGATGTCACTTTTTATTCTTTTTCCATTGAACCAGAAATTGAACTCATAAGCACCAGGTAATTAGATACACTTATCCAGAAAGTGGTGGAAATTTTTGAGCCTTAAACTTTATGGGTGTTTCTTGTCATTCAAAGGCTTCAGGCAGCTGAAGACAACGAGAAAAACACAAAGACTAAAATACTGTAACTGTTACAAGTGTGCAAAAAGATAAAAATAAAACAGTTTTAGGATTGGAATCTTCTTGAAACAGCATTTAAAAAAATAAATAAAGTAAATAAATAAGATAAAGATTTAGAACAAGTTTTGCTAGAGATTACCTTTTGATGTAATGAATATGCATACACCTGGGTTCCCCCTCATAGTAATATGATTGGCTGGTGTCAGCCATAAATACAGACTGATGTGGAGGTACAGGAGAACGCCTATTGGCTACACATATTGCCTACACCTATTGTCTTCACCACGACGAGGACCAGTCGATTACGGTTACCTGCTAGATTGTCCTATTCGGTTACAGTAGTCCAAAACCACTTTGCTACTTCGAACAAATATATCCCTTTCATTTTGAAAAATTTAAAAAGACCCTATTAACAATTCACACAGATTCAAAAATCTAATGACTGCTATCAACCTGAATTCATCTTGTGCAAATCTCTTTGCTTATCTCTTCAATTTAAAGTTCCAAAGCCAGTAAAAGTCAAGCTTCCAAGTAAAGATTTATTGAATCAATTTGAATATATTTTTGAATATTTTCTCCCATTATTTTCTAAGAAAATTATTTATATTTGGAAATGAAAACAAAATCGGTAAACATGTGAATATTGTCAAATTCACTAACATCAAATTCATTTAACCAACTATATGTAGACAAGTCCCTATGATAAAAGGTTGTTTACTTATACAGGATGCAACAGAAATACATCCCTCATAATGGTAAGAAATTAGCTAGCTGAAGACACTACTGCTGCTAATGTCTTACCATTATGTGGGAGGTATTTCTGCCACACTCTGTACAAGCAAAATACCATGGATAGTAAGCTTAGAAATTGAATTTCTGAAAACAATTGATACTTTCAATTTTAACTGCTCCTTTATCATTTCATTTTTGCATTAGAAACATTCTGACTCTTGTGTAAAGACATTCAGTTTTTCTCAATTCATTTTAAAGGATATTCTTCATTTTTCTTTTGATAACTTGATTGAATCAATTAACAACTTAATTTTATGTTTTTTGTGGGGGGAAAAAAAAAAAAAAAAAAAGAAAAAAAGAAAGTAAAACAAATCCTTTAAACTTGACAAAAAGAAAATGTAACAAGAAAATTTTTTTTTTTTTTTTTTTTAATTTTTACCTGATGGATTCCAATGGATGCCATGAATTGGGCATTGTCCCGAAGATTTTCTTCTCGTTTCCTTTCATACTCTGACAAGTTCATGTTCTACAGAAAGGAAATAAAAAAAAAATGTTAATCAAGAGCAGAAATTCAATAAAAAATATTTCATCAGAAAGACAGAGACAATAACGTCAGCATTTTTTTTGAAAATGCATTATGGGAAGTTTTTATTTACAGCCAGCTCAGTTAATAGAGCTGGAAGCCTCTGCTGCCAGTTGCCATAATTTAGCTGGAGGTCTCTGCTATTAATTACGAAAACAATACTTCATAAAAATCAATAATTATTACAAACCAAATCTCTTTTTAGAAAATGATTTGCAAGGGCTAAAGTCATTCACTGATTTTTTTTTGTTGAATAGGTATTTGCCAACAGCTGTATTTATTTTGTAATGTTTTATTTTTACTATTTATTCTATATATTTGTTATATAGGGATAAAGTGTTGCTGCCAACACTGGAGTTTGAACACAGATCACCAGTGAGCAAACACAGGCAATCCCATTTTGAATAAGTAGATCACATGATGGTAAAGGAAATGTATATATAGGAATTAGCATGGCGTCTAAGTGATTATTATACGGATCACTATTCAATGGTTACTATTTGAGTGAGTGTTATTCAAAGGCACCTGACACCAGTATTGTTCAACAGCATTACTATAGTTGTATCTGTGATTACAAAGTCTCCACTACAGTGAGCATTATGAAAGTGACAAGTATTCATTGACATTACAAAAGTGGCAGCGTGTGTCCGTTGGCATCACAAAAGTGGCGACGAGGATTCTTTGAACTTACACAAGGATTCATTGAATTTACATGAGGATTGCTTCAACTTACACGAGGAAAAAAATTAATCTGCAAAATATTCAGCAGAGTACAGCAGAATGGAAGAATTAAAAGCTATCAAACGTTGCAGTAACAAAAATTACAACATGCTTCAAGATCATTGATTCCAGCTGTAAGTAGCTACAGTCAAATAGAAAAGGAAGCACTGGCCATCATATTTGCCATGAAAAAGTTTCATAAATTCATACATGGTAGAAAATTCATGCTACAGACAGATCATCATCCATTATTGTCCATATATGGATAAAAAAAAAAGAAAAAGAAAAAAAAAAAGTGTTTCCACGCATACAGCAAATAGACTGCAGTGCTGGGGAACTATCCTATTGAATTATAATTATAAAATGGAATTTCTATCATCCAAAAAAAGAAGTCATGCAGACAGATTGTCTAGACTAATACCAAGATTCTGCGAACAACTGGAGGACATAGTAATTGTGGCGATAAGGGCCAAAAATGAGATTAATAACGTATTATACAATACTGTACGAGAACTGCCCATAACATTGGAGGAAATAAAAATTAAAGCGGGAAAAGACAATTTTATAATGAAAATGAAGGAGAAATTAAGGGCTAAAGGAAAAAATATTGGAAATAATGCATTTTCATTACCTACTTATATATGCAGAGAAAGTGGTGATACCAGCATTGTTGCAAAGACGTATTTAAAAAGAATTTCACAAAGGATATCCAGGAATTTCTAGAATGAAATCCTTAATGAGGTGTTATACCTACTAGCCAAAAATGAATCAAGAGATAAAAAATTTAGTGGAATCATCCAGAGGTTGTACTCTGGCAGTGAAGTCACCACTTATCCAAATTCAACCTTGGCCAAAAACCAATATGCCATGATCCAGAATACATATAGAACCATTAAACAGAGCATACTATCTAGTGGTAGTCAATAGTTACACTAAATGGCCAGAAACATTAAAATGTAGAAGACCGACTACTGCGGCAACGATAAATTTCGTACACAAGATTTTTGCAATGTTCGGTGTTCCTGACTATCGTTTCAGACGACAGAACACAATTCATGTCTAGTGAATTTAAGGTTTTTTGCAAATCATTAGCAATAGAACATACTAAAACTCCCCCTTATCACCCAAGATCAAACTTACAAGCGGAACTGTTTGTCGATATGTTTAAAAGGGAACTAAAAAAAGTCAGAGGGAGAGGAGTCAGATGAAGTAATGATTCGCTAATTTTTGAGTGTTTACCGAATAACACCAAACCCAAACGGCATGTCTGGAATGCCACCTGCAGAGTTAATGTTTCGCCAGGAAGATTAAATCCGTTTTCAATAAGTTATTACCAGAACGTAAGGTGAGAACATCAAGAAATAACAATACAAGTTGATACTTCAAACCCGGAGATAAGGTATTTTTTAAAGATGTATCAGTGTGGGAAGGAATTTTGGGAAGATGGCGTTATAAAAACAGTGGATTAGCAAAATGACATACATGATACAGGGACAAAGGTGGAAACATAAGAAACACCTTAATCAGTTAAAACGTAGATTCACATATTTAAAAAGTTCCCGAAAAGAGATACCAATGGAAATTCTGTATGACACATTTAATGTACCCATGTATTCCATATGTAGTGGCTTCAAGAGGTTTTCACCAATGAGGAGTTCAGCCAAGAGACAGCAACTACAGGGAGTTTCATACTCTTGCAGGTTAAATATTCACATGGAACTGAACTACAGGCAGTTATATCCATGGTATCTCTGAAAGTCTACAGCCAGGACAATGTTTCTTTAATGGCATCAACAGCAATTCAAGGACATTGGCAGTGGTCTGAGAGATGGCCTCCACCAGGTCTACTTTGCCCAAGACACACTAGATAGCAACCCTAGAACCACACATGAGATGACTGATAGTCAGACAGACTGTTAATTTTTTAAAAATTATATACTGATTTTTTCAGATATGTAATGTCTCATATCAGTTGGTTGGTTGATTTATTTTCTATGGCTTATCAAATCTTTGCAGGTTATTTGAATCAAGAAATTATTTTTAGATTTTAAGAATTTTTTCTTTGAGATAATAATGATTTAGTAATACAAGTCTAAGTTACTAATTAATCCATAGCTGGGGTGGAGAAGAGGTGATTTCATACCTTTCCCCAAGGCTATTTGCACATAAGTAAATATAACAAACCCAATGGGAATTCGAACTCGGTTCTCTAATTTCAAGCTATTATCCATTACACCACCCACACATCCAAGCTTAAAGCACCTGGCATTCCCAAGTAGTTATCCATCTAGATACTGACCAGGCTCAATCTCATATCAGATAATTTCTCCAAGTCATTTAACTGATGCAAAGCATCTCTAGCAGAAGGAGAACAATCTACTCCTGTGAATTGAATAAAGTGTTTGGATGTAAATTCCCAGATAGTTATCTAAAAAAGGACAGAGTATAACAGGCAAAACATGACTATAACAATCAAGATGATGACACTCGTCCAAATAAATCCATGTATAATTATGATGTCATCACTTCCAAAGATTCAATTTTTTTTTCATTTTTAGAACAAGATTTTTAAAGTTACTCCTGCAATTTGATTTTATCAGAATTATCTCTATTATAATTCTATTTATCTTCCCTTTATTAGTAACTTTGCACAACCATTATGCCCTGCCTATACCTCATAAATAATTGACTATTCAGGTTTCGATCGTGTGAAAACATGTTAATGACTTATCAGAGATGCTACGAGGTTTCAGTGAGAAAATGAATGAGAAAAAGAATGAAGGGAAGATAGAAATGTTTAACCTCTCCTGCCAATATCTCATAATAGATTATTTGATTTTAATTGCATGAAAAAACAAAATATATCAGAGATGCTACTTGGTTTCAGTGAGAAAAAAGAAAGATAGAAGTGTTTAACTGCTCTTTTCAGTGAAATGGAAAAAATTGTTAATTTCAAATCTTTTCATTTGTATCCCCTTACTTCTTAAAATAATGACCAGCATTTATATTTATGATTATTACTGCAATATTTTGTGAAAGTTGTTAAGCTCAAATATTTAACAATGCAAAAGGGGTTTTTCTACACATATTTTATTGTTGTAGAATGCACGAGTTTATTCAATTATTAATTTAAGAATTAAGATTTAATATTAAAATAGGAAAGCCATGAAATTTTCACAGGTCTTTCTAGTATATATTAATTTAAATATCCTGTTTGTGTTAGATAGAAATTCAAGACTGGTTCTAATAACAGTAAAATGTTTCCTTGAAACTGTGATGGTGAGCTAGTTTGTTTTTCTTTTTTTTTTCTGACATGTCCTTTTAGGACATAGGCGATCATGGCTCTCCATCTCCCTCTATCCCTTGAAGCTCTTCTTTCCCTCTGCCATCTCCCCCTAGATCACATTCTGTCATCCACTTGCTCAAACTCACTAGGTATGTCATGCATTTTTTTCCTTTCATTTCTCTTTCCCTATATTCAACCCGTGAGTATCAGATTCTCCAGGCCTTCCTTCCTCATGATGTGTCCCAGAAACTTCAGCTGCCTCTTCCTATTGTTAAGTAGGAGCCTTTTCCTATTGTTAAGTAGGAGCCTCCTCCTTGTTTGCATCCTCTCCAAGACTTCATTGTTGCTCACACGCTTGGTCCATGATATCCTTAGCATCCTTCTGTAGAACCACTTCTCTGTCGCCTCGAGTCTCTTCATGAAACTACTAAGAAATATCTTACAATCTTTTCTGTCAATGAAAAATTTGTCATTCAAATTCAAGTTTTATTGTTCATGGATATTTACTTCGATACCAGCCATACTGACATTTATAAGAACTTTATAAATACACATGTACAGCAATGATAAAATGATCGATATGAAGCATCCAAAGTAAGATGGAATTTTTGAAAACCATTTGACTGTTTAATTTTTTTTATTTCCTTGTTAACATTTTGCTCTACATGAGCATTATCAAAACAACTGAAAAAAATTTAAGGAAAAAATTGTTACCATGACAACCCTGCTATTTATAAATGATGTGGTTAATTTGAAAACTAGATGTCAATGAACAAATCAATAAAATTTGTACAAAGAAAATATGTTGATTTGATACAGGAAACTAAAATGAAAATTATGTTGAGCAAAAGAAGATAATGAACAATGATAATTTAAAATGTAATTCATGATATTAGGATGTTAAGCAAAGTTTAGAATTTAATTAAAACTTCTA